AATAAGTAAAGATAGAAACTTACGGTTGCGCCATTTTTGAGATTTAACATTTTTAAGTGAACTATTGAAAAGTGAAAAACGCTAGAAAACAACCCAAATGTATTAGGTAATCTCAATTTTTTAATCGAGAACTTGAGCGGTGTCGCGGCTCGCGATCGACCGCTCCTCACAGCATGTGGCCGGGAGCACCGTGTTGCCGCGCGTCTCGGTCGTGAGCACGGTCGCCGCGCTTTACGGCGGCTACCTTGTTCGCTCCGAGACCACACCATGTAGGCACGCCCCCAGCCACCGCTATAAATAGCGCGTACGCGCGCCAGTGCGGCCTCTCTCGTCTTGTCATCTTACTATTATCGTCGTGCCGCCTTTATTATTGATTGGTTGGGTTTCCACGATATCGCCGTCGTGTCTACGTCCCCGTGCCTCGCGCGATTGGATGGATTGTTGATGGATTGTTTGGATATACGTGCGAGGATAGAATTCCAGGATGATGAACATCACGAAGCGCCTTGGTCGCGCAGGATTCGTTGGGAGCTTGGTTCGATGCTGCTGGTTAACATCATGGGGTCGGTGTTGCCGTGCCGTAGCTGCTGCCTTGGCGGCGCGCGGCCGGCCTGTGGGTAGCTCCCTTGGATGCCGGGAGAGTGTGAGAGTGTGTTAGTGTGTGAGTGTGAGTAAGCCAGAGTTCCCATCGGTAGCCCGGGGTAGAGCTTAACTCTCCCCGTGGTAAGTATATCTATATTTGTTTATGTCGTATATTTTTCGTGTATGTTTATTTAGTAAATTTATATATGTTTATAGTTTCATGTGCAGTGTAGGCGTAACGCGCCGTTGTGGGCAGGGCCCACCCGCAACCGCGGAAGTCCTTCGGGGACAGGAGCTGTGGCGCATGGCAGTCGAGCGCAAGGTGAGGGGGCGCAGAGCCCACCGAGCCGCAACATGGTGCATCGATGCCGAGCGCATGGTGGATGGCGTCGCCGCCCGCGGATGGGTTAGTCGCGTAAGTTGGAGCAGAGTCGTGTGTCATCGATATGTTGCGTCGTTGTTACGTTGTTGAAGGAATGCGCTATCCCATCCATCATGCGTGCGTAACGAGCCCGAAGCTACCACGCTCAGCGCCCCAGTAGGAAGTCCTGGCAAACAGAGAGGCAGAGTTGAATACCTACGTAGCCAGTAGCAAGAGTGCCGGAAGGTAGCCAGGGTGCGAAGCATGGCGTGTCAGCGCGGGGGGATAGTCGGAAAGACTGTGGCAACTTGCCAACTAGAACCCCAATTGGCCAAGCGCCCACGTCATGCGATACCTGGTAAGCCTGTCGCGCTTGGAAAGTACTGTCCAGGTGGAGGGCCGGTGTCGTAGTCGGCGGGCTCGACCGGGGGTACCGGAGAGTGCCAGCGGCCGCACATGTCGAGTCTTTGGAATTTGGAACGAAGGATTGGGGGAAGCAAGAGGAAGAATCGACAGATGGATGCCTTGATGGAGTACGATTGATGGAAGACTGTTGTCAGACAGGCGGAGGATGAAGATGAAGATGGATAGGACGATCGCGAGCGCGCCTGAGTTATACCGTTGTACGTGCATTTAGTGCTGTATCGTTGAGCACGCTGCGCGCAGAAGACCAGATCGTGGAGGCGCGAAGAAGAGTTGTATCGTTGTACGCGCAATTTAGGACTGTATCGGAGCACGCGAGAGAGCTGTACCGGAGTACGCGCCAGGAGAGTTTTGACGTTGGATTGTCGTTCGAGTGGGAAGCCGGCATGGAGATGGATAGTTCGAAGGCAGATGGATGGAATTCAAGGAGCGCGATTTAGAGCTGTATCGTCGCACACGTATTTAGTGTTGTACCGTTGAACACGTCTCATTGTCGTATCGTCGTACGGTATATAGTGTTGTATCGTCGAACGCGTTTCAGTACTGTATCGTTGTACGCGCTAGTTCGAAGGCGAAGGACGAGCGATGGACAGGAGGAACGACAGGAGAGAGGGGTGTGGAGCTGCGTAGAGCTGTATCGGTGGACGCGTGAAGGTGGAGCAGTGTCAAGACGCGCGAAGAACCGCAGCTGGGGATCGACACCGTCCTATATTCACATATAGGAGCTTGGACCATAGCCGGCGAGACGGGATTCGGGTCCTTTTATGTAAGCTGGGGATTTTTAGTTAGTATTTTGTGTTCTATAGCTTTTGTATTTTTGTGTTTTCTAAGTAAGTTTATGTTTGGGGTTAGATTTGAGTTTGGATTGGTACTAGGGGTCCTTGGATCTTTATCCTGTTAGTTTTTCTTTCACATCACCTTCTTTTCTTTCGCTCTACTGTAGTTTAGTTTTCCCACAAACCGGTATTAGTGTCCCCGTAGTACAATTTCCTCTCTTATCTTTTCTTTTAATCGTTATCAGTAACCGTAGTCGCCTTTGGCTCCCGTCGTAGTGTAACATGGGGTACCATCAGGTAAGTTTCGTTAGCGCAAATAAGCGCACTTGCGCTTTCGTTTCTGTGCCCCCTTAGCTTGCCCACCACCCCTAGTACAAGCGGAGAGCAGCCGTGCTAGAAGGATGGGAATTGCCGAGCAAGATGCTGGAAGGTACCATCAGCAGGACGACGACGAAAGACGGCAATTGGCACGAAGCACGGTTTCTAGCAGGATATGGTCCAAGTGCCCATGGGTCATCAGTGATGGCCTCTCCATTCGCCGACAGGAGCCCTGAGCAGTTTCCAGACCGGCCTCCGACAGGATAACCTTTCCCGTACCTTGTTATACGCGCCACTTAGTGCCGCGCAGGCTCTTCAGTGACACTCTGTCGTTATTCATGCTCTGTTTGCCTTACGTCCTTTTGTTATCCCCACGGTTACGTACTGCACTTCTTTTTTGTTTTTCCTTCGGTGGTGTAGGTAGGGTAAGTTGGAAGGGTCTAGTAGGGTTATTCGTTGGCATGGGTACGGAGTGTGTCCTGTATTCTTCTATTTATAATTATATGTATTTTTTTTAGGTTACCGATGGGTGTGAGTGTTGCCCCTAGCGCGCCGCGCTTCGTTCAGGCAAGGTCCATCTTTGATGTCGTTGGTCACACGACGGACAGTATGACAGAGAGAGCCATTGGAAACAGGCAGAATTTCTTACCGTTTTCCATTTAGGTACCGAGCCTCTATTTTCCTTCTTTTCTGCTCTGATTTGTCTGGTGCCAGGCCATTGTCGAGCTTCACGCTCTGTTTTCATTATCAGGCCAGATGTTGTGTTTTTGCGGCGGAATGCCTTTCTTTTTGTAATTTTTGTCCCTTATTTCCCCACTTTTTCTTCAGTTGGGTCCTGAAACGATTGCTGTCGAGCGCGCACTTTAGGCGGCGTGTACCCCACCTGCTTGTGCATAGTGATCGATCATCAGATCTCTTTCGCTTTTTCCCTCGTTCCCTATGTTTTGTTTATTGTCTCGCGAGCAGTAAGCAACCATAGCCCTTTTTGTGTTTTTGTAGGTAATTTTGGTGAAAGTGCGGCCCAACTGCTCATTTCGCGCAAACTTCGTCTTCTTCGGCCTCAGAGCGTCGGTTAGGCAGTAGATCTGTACTTCTCGCTAAGTATTCTATCCTTGGTGTTTTGCGAACTTGTTCCATCCTTGCAGTTGCTATTGTCTACCGTTGCAGCCGTGTCCCAGCCAAATCAGTATTTTTGTTCTTCTTGCAACTTCGCGAGCCGTGAGCTTATTACCATCCTTATGCTCATTGCAGTAACCTTCTGCACGCGCGTTTTCCTTTGTGACATCCTGTATCCCTGCAATTGTGCCTGTAAGTGCTCCGCGTAGTTGCAATTTTTTTGTTTGATTGTTGGCTACCTGCAAGACTATCACTCACTCGGCTATGTCTTAAACTCGGTTTTTTCTTCACGCGCGTTCAGTACATTGTATGTGCGTTAGTATGATTCGCGCATTTTCGGATATCCCTTGTACTGCGCGTCAATCCTGGCATTTGTTATGTACATCCTGTAAACGCGCCCTTGGTAGTATACTACTTTCTGTTGGCGCGGTGTAGATTTTCTCTCAATTGCCTATTCCATCTACAGGCTTTCTTTCGCGCGTGAGTACCTTTAGAGTATCGCGCCTTTGTTCCCGTTGTGCGCTCCATCTGCACTTTGATCTCATGCCAAGTTTACCTGACTACATCTTCGGCAAGTGAAGTACTTCCTTACCATCTATGTTGGCATCGTCGTATTTTTGAGTTGTATCGTCGTTCGACGAGATATTGCGCTTAGCGCGCCAGCCGTACTTCATGGATATTTTTTGCCCGTAGTAGCTTGGCCCAATCGTTGCGCTTAGGGCTAGTGTGTCTTGTTTATTCACAGTTGTTACCATCTCGTTCGTATGTTTAACTTGCCCGGCCAGCTAGTGCAACTGCGACCATTACTGTATGTTGGCAAGCATGTCCCTTGAGTGCATCTCTTTTTTCGGTTTAGACTTACCTGACGCGCGATCCGTAGACACGTTCATACTACCTTGTCTGTGGACGCTTATGTCAGGCACCTGTAGCCAGTAACATCGGCTGTGGTTATACGCGCGGCTTTCGCCGTCGCTTCGCCGGATTTACCTCTTTTTACCTGGATTGACTTATACCCGGACTTACTCCTCGTTTGCATCACTGTTTTATTGTGTCATCATTCCATCTCCTATTTGGACACTCTCAGTATGCAGCGTAACCCGATTTTGACGATTATTGGGATGGTCCTGCGGGTAGCACCTACTCCCGTACTCGCTGTAGCCTCTTCGTTGACAGCTTGGCTCACACTCCAACATCTGATCATGGTTATACTTAGTTTGTGCATAGTAAACCCGCTTCTTCATCGACGTGCGGTACATACTTAGCGTAATGCGTCAAATAAGCGGGCTAAGTACGTAACATCATTTAGTTGTCGCGCTAAGTATTAATCATGCCCATGCCAGTGGATTCATCGTCGGAACGTCCAGAGGGAAGTCTTGCTGCGCAGCTTGGACGCGCCGTTAATCAGCTTAGATTACCTCGTGACGATGATCTATTTCAAGGATGATGGGACCAACGGCGAGCCGGGAACAGGAATTTCGACGCGCGAGTCTGAGGACGACTTCTGGCGGGAGTTGATGGAAGTTCGTGGACGAGTACCTATGGCGAATCCACAAGACGCGCAGACGGACGCGCAACCGGGTGATACTGCGGACTCGAACGGTACTAGTAGGCAACCCTAATTTTAAATTTTGTTTTGAATTTTCCTTTTTTACAGTTTGTACTTTAAAATTTACTAACGTTTTGCATTTGCGCGTCAGTCAATTCCTTTTACACTATAACATCCTTGTGACTGTCGCGCCTCTAAAATTTTATTTTTATACTTTGCCTACTTACCGTGTAAGATCTGTCGCGCTAGTTAACCCAGCAACTAACACCATCTGGCGCATTTGTGGAGCGCGTTAACATCTATAGCGCCATGTAAAGTCCCGCGTAACATCTTAGTTTTTCAGCTCCTTACCAGTTATACTTCCTATTGTAGTAGCGCGTTAACATCATCTAAATTTTCCGCTAATTTTTCTAACTTGTTTATCATTGCTACTCCGTCGAGCAGCCTAGCGGTATAGTCTACTTTAGGAAGTTGCAGCCGTCACCGGACGCGCCGTCTTATGCTTAAGTCCCGACCATAGAGCTATTTTGAGCAGTCCACCAGGCTCCTGTAACGCCTGCTCTATAGGTTGGGCCGTCTTTCCTTGAACAGACCCACACTGCCGCACCCCCGGGTCCTTGAGTTGCGGGGTCGATCCCCTCGTTGAGGCATTTTGTCCTCGGCGGGAGGCTGGACCTTCGTCCAATTCGGTCCGGATGGGTGCTAGATGCGCAAATTTGGGGATGTTTCGGGAAAGACGTAGTACCTTCTTGTCTGGAAGCCAACATCCTCTCAGTTTATCGTTTCATTTTGTGCTTTTTATCGTAAATCAATTCAAAATTAGGAGAGGGTAGAGGTTTCTTTTGTTTCAGGGTGTGCGTTCCAGGACGCGCGTCATGTAGGTTTGCAGGACGGTAAGTTTTGTTTCGGGCACTACGCTCCCTCGATGTTGAACGTATGAGTGTATTTAGAGTGGTTAGATGTTGGTGGTGCGAGGGGCGGAGTGCGAGTTGGATGCGCAGTAAGATCAGCGCTGGTTGAGATGGATGGCGAGGTGGAACGATGGTGATGCTATGGGCTGGAACGTCTATCCTGAAACGGTGTACATAGTTTATAGCTGTAGAAGTATTTTTAATCATTGTTCATATTTATTTGGTAAGCGCCTTGAGCGCTCCGGTTTATTCTAGCAGTTACCTGCGCGTCAAAGCGCCTGTAGTTTGTGTTTATTTATGTGCTTTACCACGGGGCGGGTTGTCGCCTGTTCATTTCATTTCATTTCATTTCATTTGTACGCTCAAGGCGTTCCATAAAAAAAGACACATCAAGAAGTTAGTAATACAGCGGAAACGAACAAGACATGTAAACAAATGCAGACATCATCATGTCAGTCCGAGTCTGATCCTAATCAGACTAATGTGAGAAGATAAAACAGCTTGCACTGAATATGTTGGTAGGCTAATAGATAAGTATGCAGATGTAGGCATGAGATTTATAACTCCAAAACTTTGAATCCATGGAGATGGGACGCATGCCCCCTCGTTGCCAGCGGAACGATCTTTAGTTACTCTTAAAAGCAATCCGGCGGTTTATAAGGCAGGTCTACTGGCTCAGGTATAATAACCATAACCCAACCTAGCCGGAATGCTGGGGAGGCCCAATGACCCCAAAGGTGAAACGATTCTCATTGAATCCATTTGTTGAAATAGCAAGCTGTACGATTGACTAATAGCTGAACGAAAAAGACTCGGACTGAGAAGCTGATGAAACTGTGTTAGTAACTAGAACAAAACGAGTACACCAAAAATAAAAGTTTGACGCAACGTGAGGAGATACACAAGAGGCGTCAAAGAAATAATTTACAGCCACAACTGAACCCGCAAGTCAATGCAAGATCACCGAGCACCTGAAAAGACAGGTCTTAGAGGTAAAATGGAGAAGGAAGGTGATAGAAAACAAAGCCCAAAGCGATTCCATCCGCCATCATAGCACGTCCAAAGCACCCAAAGGAAGCCCAAAAGGTCTAATGCAGAAGGCTCGCCCTGTCATGCAACACTAATCACTGTTAGCGATACTTGACAAGTCAAGCCTTCTCAGTCTACTCCTGAAAATATGACTACTCTCTGCACTAGTGGTCTCAACCGGGAGGTGCGAAAGCCACCTAGCCGACCTGTAGAACACGTTGTTGAACATGAGCAAGTATCTCTTGCGCCGGATTCTTGGATATTGCAAGTTAAAAGAGCCTGACCTTTCGCTTGTAGGAACAAAAATCCAGTATTTACTGGCTTTTAGCTTGTTCTCTCTTCTCAGAACTTGAAAACAGAATACGAGATCCAAGAAGGCACGACGGTTTGTTAAGGATTTCATATGAAACCTCTCAAGCCGGGTCTGGTAATCGGGAGGGGTGGTTCCGGGCGATAAACGTCTATACAACAGTCGTGTAAAAAGCTGTTGAACCTTTTCAATTCTGCGAATATTCCTTTTTACGAAAGGGGGACCAGACCTGAGAACAGTATTCTAAATGAGGAAGAACTAATGCTTTATAAAGCGGTATAAGTATCTTCGGAGAACTAGCATTAGTATTGCGGAAAAGCAGAAAGAGTGAAGAATAAGCTTTTTTGACTAGCGTATTGATATGCTCAGTGAAGTTAAGATTTGTATCAATCACGACACCCAAATCTCTAACAGTATCACAACTCTTCAATATAGAGCCTTTGATGTGATACGAGGTAGTATTTCCACCTCCAAGATGAAGCACTGAGCATTTGTCAAAATTTAACGCTAATTCCCAGACCTCACACCAATTGGTCAAATTCCCTCGCTACCGATGTCGTATGTTTTTCTTTTTTTTCTATCATCGCCCAAATTTTTAGATTAAGGCAGTTGCCCCAGGTCACGGTGCTATCACGTAACCACCTATTCGCAACGCCCAATGCCTTCCGTTGTGGGGGGAGTGTCGCGGCTCGCGATCGACCGCTCCTCACAGCATGTGGCCGGGAGCACCGTGTTGCCGCGCGTCTCGGTCGTGAGCACGGTCGCCGCGCTTTACGGCGGCTACCTTGTTCGCTCCGAGACCACACCATGTAGGCACGCCCCCAGCCACCGCTATAAATAGCGCGTACGCGCGCCAGTGCGGCCTCTCTCGTTTTGTCATCTTACTATTATCGTCGTGCCGCCTTTATTATTGATTGGTTGGGTTTCCACGATATCGCCGTCGTGTCTACGTCCCCGTGCCTCGCGCGATTGGATGGATTGTTGATGGATTGTTTGGATATACGCGCGAGGATAGAATTCCAGGATGATGAACATCACGAAGCGCCTTGGTCGCGCAGGATTCGTTGGGAGCTTGGTTCGATGCTGCTGGTTAACATCATGGGGTCGGTGTTGCCGTGCCGTAGCTGCTGCCTTGGCGGCGCGCGGCCGGCCTGTGGGTAGCTCCCTTGGATGCCGGGAGAGTGTGAGAGTGTGTTAGTGTGTGAGTGTGAGTAAGCCAGAGTCCCCATCGGTAGCCCGGGGTAGAGCTTAACTCTCCCCGTGGTAAGTATATTTATATTTGTTTATGTCGTGTATTTTTCGTGTATGTTTATTTAGTAAATTTATATACGTTTATTGTTTCATGTGCAGTGTAGGCGTAACGCGCCGTTGTGGGCAGGGCCCACCCGCAACCGCGGAAGTCCTTCGGGGACAGGAGCTGTGGCGCATGGCAGTCGAGCGCAAGGTGAGGGGGCGCAGAGCCCACCGAGCCGCAACAAGCGGTTATTTGAAAGTTGCAACGCATGCTCTACAAGATGACCTTCGGAAAATCCCAAAAGATTTGATACACGTAAAGTTTGGAGCCAAAAAATAAATGCTCGAAAAATTTGATCTCAGCTCAGGAACTTCTACTGACTTTCAACTCAATCAGGTATATCCTCACATCAAGTTTCTATGTTTACATTTGCTAAATTCTTCCATGGCTAGAATTCGAGAGGCAGGCAAAATTTTTCCAAAATCCCAAAAAAAAACCGAAAAATGTCACTTTATCTTGGTTTTTCATGCTAAACTCGTTGTTTCTCAAAAAGTGTTTCTCACATAGAAGACTAAAAACTCGTAGTGGTTTTCATAAAGATCTGTAGATCTGTCTATGTAGGAACAGCCCAGCACAGCTTATACAAAAACATACAATTTTTTATTCTTGTTTTCTAGCAACGAAAAAAAAAACAGCATTTATATGTATGAATGTCTGATGTGGAAATTATTGCTTGAAACAAGCTGGAAGCTCGTAGGATCTTTTCGACGAAGATTTGATTTTTTTCAATTTTTTGGGTATTCGAATCTTTTTAGAATCGGATTTAAACGTGCATCACAATTGAGGTGAATGTTTGAACTTCATCGCGTAGAGATTGCTTTACTGTCGAAAGGTAGACTAACGTGAAAAATTTACGAAGAAATGGCTTATATAAGTAACGATTCAAATAGAAAAGATTTATGGGACAACTTAGTACAGTAGGTAATGGTTCCCTCTTTATGAAATTGTCAAGGTAGTCTTCCTGTGTCTCCGAAATCGATCAAACCAAGCACCAGCGCGCGGCTTACAGTAAGTCGCTTGCACAAGCAATGGCGCTCGTAGTCAGTGTGAACATTGTGGAGAACACATAAAAATAAGTTAGAAAAACAATAAAGGCATTGTCTAGGATGTATTCCTGAGCAAGAGCTGAGTAATCTGTTCCGGGTTACAAAGACACAGAATTATACATTTAACAGACGAAAATTACTGCAAAAGTATGGATTTTGAGAAGAAGCTTATAAACAGGGCTCGGCACGAAGTGGCTTTCCGAAAATACAAGGAACGGAGTCCCCCTGACTTCCAAAGAATTTTAGAAGACCGTTTGTACCTCATCCGAATCGACTAAAAAACCCTAAAAAACCGATACGTGACTAAAATACCCCAATTTACGCGTGTTTTCAGACCCGCAAAAACGATATCCCCTTTGTTTTTTGTCCCAAAAACGATAAACTTGCTTATAAGACAACTTTGTCAAGCAATGCTTGCAAAAAATAAGAAATCATTTTTCTGATTCATAATATGAATGGAAGAACTGAACCAAAAATAGGCAAAGCAAGTTGGCAAACTTATTGACTCATGAGACCTTGATAAGCAGGGTCAAAAGGGTACGACATCGGGAAAGTTGCCTACTGTACCATTCACTTAGTTTTGGCTTAAGCCGGGAGATTCTTCCTTGAGGGTCAAAAAATTATCGTGCTATAAGATATGTGAGATGTTTTTTCAATACATGCAAAGCTAGGCTCGAAAAAATTAGCTCTGTGTTTGATTTTGATAGAAGAAATCAAATGATCCCCATTTCTTCATTGCTGAAGATTGCGTGTGATGTCAATGTTACGCGTAAAAATCATTAATAAACCTATGAATCAAAATGATCAATTAGGACGTTACTTTAGACAATAAAAGTAATGAATTTAGGCGTTAAATTTCGCATATTTAGATTTTATGATGTTGAGGAAAAAATCAAGAAAATTAACCTACCCCTGTTGGTTGCATTATACACTGAATAGGCAAGGATTCTGTGGGAATAAGAGTAGCTCTTATGAGGGTAAGGCTAACCGAAAATGCCGAGGACTCGACATAGATCGAATTATATAAATGCATCGGGATGACGCTGTGCCTCCGTCTTGATTAATTTTGGAGAAGAACTCAGATTTTCTCGAGTATCGACGTCATTCTGCTACTTAATGGCTATCTATGTTATTAAAATTGTGATAATTTGGAAGAGTCCATATTGGACATATAGGGTAGTCGATTTTAAAAACCGTGCAGTTTTCAATTATTCTTACTGATCAGTTGAAAATTAAAAAAATAAAACTCTTCGTCATAGTCGAAAAGTCGCAGATTTTGTTATGCTGCTGCATATATTTTTCAAATTGGAAATAGAATTTCTCATTCAAGGAAAAATGGTCAGAATTAACCGAATTGTAGATGAAAATGCAAAATATGTCTGAAGCAGATAAAAGTGGAAAACATCAGTTTCAGCTCCTTGTGAGCCAGCAAGGGGTCATTGCCCCCAAAAAACTGCC